TTCCGAGTGGAGGAAGTTCAAGCAAAGTCCTTCCATGGGGTTGAGGTCATTCTGTCTGCTTCTCACTTCCCATATGTGTGTGTGTATAAATCTCTCCTTATATATAATTGAATAGTGGGTGCCAAAGTTCTAATTCTAAAATGCACTCCCTTAGTGTATGGCTGATGGCACTGCTCCTCAGCATATATCGCCACCAATCAGAAGGCAAAGCCCGGGTCCCGCCCACACCACAACTGCTGCGACAACCTGGTCTTTTGCATATGGAAGCTGATTGGACTTCACTCCATTCCACACCTCAAACTCCCCCCCGCCCCCGGCAAGGGAGTTGGAATGTCAGTTGCATACGGAACCTGCTGTATTCTGGTGGTGTGCAGGTCCCAGGTTCATGCTTTAAAAGCAGACTGACACTGTTTGCCCAAAGCCAGAGCACTCTCCCAGAGCCTCTTTCTAGATCTCGTTGTATTTATTTCCACAACTGGCCTTATTTCTAGTATATATATAAATAAAAATCAGAGCTGTACAAGCCGGAGAAATATCAACCCTTGGGGGTGACTTGACTTTGTAGTGTAGCCAACTCCTAAAACCCTGTAGATAAAACTTGTGTCCACATGCAAGACCAGTTTAAAACAAAACAAAACACCCTACATTTAAAAAAAAAAATACCCAGCATGCCCCTCTGCTTGAAGATATGACCCTGTCTACTTGCAACGCCATCAGTCTGTGTTGCTGCAGCAAGATGGCTGCACCAAGGGAAGGCCTCCCTGCTGGTGGGGAAACAGCGGAAAGTGGGCCGGAAGGCAAGGGATTCTCTTAACCCGGGAGTGTCGGGTGCCCCAGGCTTCCAGTAATGGCGGTGGAAGGTGCGGTTGGGTCTCAACCAACGTAGGGCCACCCCATTGAGTTTTCAAGGCAAGAGCCTGGCATTCAGGGGTGCTTTGCCCTTTGCCTGCCTCTGCGTAGTGATCTTGGACTTCCTCGGTGGTCTCCCGTCCAAGTACCAACCAGGGCTGACCCTGCGTCTGCTTCCAAGATCGGGCTAGCCTTGGCCATCCAGGGCCATCGGTAGGGAATGCTTTTTTACAAACCCTGCACCCCGTAACTTTTGGAGGTTTAATCTGTTGCTGCCCCCTTGTACCCACTCATTGGTTCAGCAACTCACAAACATCTCAAAGGCATGTGGGTATAATACTCCTGCCTTCTCTCCCTGGCTTTTACATCCTTCACAATTCCCAGATTGTCTTCTCTCTAAGCCCCCCTCTGTTTACCCGGATCCCATTCTTCCTCCCCTCCCAGTTGGCTGGCCTCTAGTATGAGCAGTGCTCAGAGTGTCTGCTCAGGACTAGGAAGACCCAGGTTCAAATCCCTGCCAGCCACGGAACTTACTGGGCGACTTTGAGACAGTCACCCTTGCCCTCGGCCCAACCTGCCCCACAAGGTTGTTGAGAGGATAAAATGAGGAAAGAGCCGTCTAATACCACCCTGAGCTCTTTGGAAGAAGGGAGGGATGGAAATGTGATGGAGGTTATTCCCCCTTTGTTATAATACCAGGACACAGGTTTACCCAATGATGTCAATGGGCTGTACACATTCAGCAGAAACCAAAGTCCCCCTTCACATATTCTACCGTTTGCTTAAGGAATTCGGTGCCATCGGAGTTGGCCGCTTGCTGATATGGCTTTCAGGAAAGAGATTTTCCAGTTCATGCGGCGTCTGACATCGGTCAATAGTCATGAGCCACACCAACTGAACAGAACAATATACCTCTGAGTAACATCACAGGAAATGCTGTGACCTTCGTGGATTTCTTGGACCCACCTGGTTGGAAACAGGATGATCGCCAAGATAGGTCTTTGTTCCGATCCATCCGGGCTCTCCTGATGTTCTTATAAAGTGGGAGGGTAAAAGTCTTTTGAACTGATGAAGCGGCTTTATATAGAGACCGCCAAGTAGATTCTGCTTGGATTTCCAGAACCGTAGGCAGAGAATTCTCTTTCCCCGGTCCGACTGCATAAATTCCCCCCCCCCCCGAGATGCCAGGGATTGAACCAAGAACCTTTTGCATCCAAATCGGAGAAACTGTTCAGATCTGCTGAACTCACCTGTCTGCAGTGAAAGCTCTTTGCTTTGGCACCTGCATCTGACGCAGTTTAAGGGCCTAACACCACCATTTATTTTTATTGGTACGTCCCTGAGTTGAGTTGGAAGGTGTGTTCTAGGACTCCGCACCTTCCTGGCATGCACAGGCCCAAATGGGATTGAGACCAGGGGAGCAGGAGACTTGAACCCTCCCACGGCTTTGTTTTTTTGCCCTGACCTGGATGGCCCAGGCTAGCCCAATCTCATCAGATCTCAGAAGCGAAGGAGGGTCAGCCCTGGCCAGTATTTGGATGGGAGACCACCAAGGAAGCCCAGGGTTGCTACGCAGAGGCAGGCGACGGCAAACCACCTCTGTACGTCTCTTGCCCTGAAAGCCCTACGGTATTGCCATAAGTCAGCTCTGACTCGACAGCACTTTCCCCCTTATGTTTTCCCAGGGTTGCTACGCAGAGGCAGGCGACGGCAAACCACCTCTGTACGTCTCTTGCCCTGAAAGCCCTACGGTATTGCCATAAGTCAGCTCTGACTCGACAGCACTTTCCCCCTTATGTTTTCCCAGGGTTGCTACGCAGAGGCAGGCGATGGCAAACCACCTCTGTACGCCTCTTGCCCTGAAAGCCCTACGGCATTGCCATAAGTCAGCTGTGACTCGACAGCACTTTCCACCTTATGTTTTCCCAAACTGAAACGGCCTGGGGGGTGGGGACATGTACTAGTACACACTGGTTTCTCCATCAAGTCAAAGAGTGCCCCTGGGAGCCCTTTCAGGTCAAGAAAATGGCAGAGGGAGAAGCCAAATCCCCTCTCCCTGTGCATCCTGGCTCAGATCTCAATCGATCTCCCAAATACGTGGTGGGCACTGCTCCCTCTAAGTTGAGTTCAGTGTGAGCTAGCTCACAGTTTTCTAGCCTCCAGCTCACACACTTTTGTCTTCGTTCGGGAAGGATGGCTCCAGAGCAAACCGATTTATGCAGCAGCCCAATCTCTCGCTCACAACTTTAATGCCAGTAGCTCACAAAGTAGAAGTTTTGCTCACAAGACTCCACGGCTTAGAGGGAGCATTGGTGGTGGGGGACACAGACTTCCAGTACACTCCTGCCAGACCCACCCAGGGATGTACCAGGGGAAAACGTACTATGTAGACAGGCCCTAAGAGAGTTGTCTTCTTCAGAAACCAAAGCAGAGAATCCCATCTCTATTAATGTTTGCTGCTGAAGGCCATGAAGAAGTTGGTGTTATCCGTAAGCCACTGTCCAGGGAATCCATCCAATCTACTCCTATGGGCTTCAGACCAAGGTGACTGTGGAAGGGCTTGGGCCAAGGGCCCGGTCCCTTTGACGCTTCCTTGTACTGTGTGTGGACTTCATCATTTCTGGGGCACCACAGGCAGGACTGATGCACTTCTATTGTGTGTGTTTTACTTCACTGTTCACAGTACACTGAGAATTTACAAGAACATTTCATAAAGAACAAGACTTTTTTTAAAAAAAGAGTGCATGTGATATTCTTTTAAATCCACAAGATGTCCTTGCCAGCAGGGAGGCTGTGAAGTGGGCAGAGGTGTCACAGAAATGCTAAAGGCCACACAGTGTGGGTTGGCACCTCAGTGCCATCAAAAAGATACCAAAGAGGCAATCCCTTTGGCACCACCCTTTGGCAGACGCTTTGGGGTGAAGACCGGCTGGATTGGCAGCTTCCCCTGTGCTAGAAATGTAACTTATAGAGATGTAAGTCATAGAGGGGAAACTGAAGAACCGTGTGAACCACTGGGGAGGCATGCCTTCGTGAACCGAGTTAGCATCGTTCACACAAGCAGGGTGTGGCTACTAATTAATTTGCAACCAAGATGTTAGGACTCCAAATTAATTTTGGCTTGCCTGAAAAGCGGAGTTCTCATTCAACAACTGGTGGATAATAGGCATAACGGCCGTGTTTTAATTGGCCCATGTATTTTGGATTTTTTTTTAAACTGCTCAAGATGGGATTTCACACGGTTGGGGAACAGTTATTCTGACTCCAATTCCTTTTTTTAAAAGGATGCCAGAGTTCAAGATGTATGAGAACTACATTCTGCAGATGCTCAGAGGTCCACTCTTCTGCATCATTATATTGCTTCCTATAAATTTAAGCTCT